ATCAGGTAATCACTGGGTGAGGATGTCAAAGTCAAGACCAAAAATCAAAAGAGACCTTCATTACCCTGAAATCAGAGTGGAGATCTACTGGACTCAGCACAAGGAACAACATCCGGATTTCCAACACTAATATCAAGTCTCTCAGTACTTCTATATGATTCAGAGACGTGAAGAGCATTTCCAACAGCCTACAAACTTTTATCAACAGGTGCTTTCTTTTCATAGTGAAGATCAGATGGCCGACTGAGTAGGTAAGCAACGTGGAACTCTGAAAAATAAACGAAACAAGAACCCATCGCTCAATGAACATGCAAATGGATTGAACGTACCCTGAAGAGACAGCTGAGTAAAAGCTTATGCGTAAGGAGAGGTCAGACATAGACAACTGAAGAGAAGAGAGTGAAATGGAAGTATGCTGATGAAGCTCCATGGTCCACTCGGAAACCAAATGAATAATAATTCTACTAGATGGTTGGAGGCAATCGGAAGGAAGCCTCGCCTGACCTAGGTTTCGTGCTAGTTGACACTCATCAGCAAAGCGTATCTGCAACCTTGAAGGAACTCAGTCCCTTCTGAGATTCGAAACCACGTCAGTCAGTGATACAGTTAGAAACGCTACCACTGATTTGTTCGGGCTCACGACTGACCTCCTGTAGGACTGCATTGGATACTTCGGATGCATCATATAATATCATCGAATCAATGTGCACCCTCATGGCAACCTACTTAGAATGGTGGCCACATTGCAAACCTGACTGATCGAATTCAGTATGCAGCAAACAAAGGACTAGACACATCACACTAGTTACTAGTGTCCAATCAAAATAATTCTACTGTTAATAAAATAAATCAATTCTTCGTTCACCTTCCTTTTTTTTTAAAATAATTTTCATCAAGAAAATAATTTACTTCTTGATTGAATTTTCTACAAATTTATTTCTATTCGTCTTTTATTATTTTCAACAGTCAACAAGTAAAAAAAGACTTGATTTTTATTTATTTATGTGGAAAACCTGCTATTTTTTTCTCTCCTCAAAGTAGTTTTATTTGTACAGCAATGCAATTAATGATTTATTTCTATTGAAATTACACAAACAAGTAAAAATACATTTAAAAATGAGTGTTGAACAAGCCGAACTATGTGAACATTCTAATATGGAATAAATTTTGCTCAAATGTTTGAAAGTTGCATTGAACAAAGCATACAACAAAGGACAAATGTTAATGATGTGAAAAGAAGTAAAACTACAGGGTGAAATTATGAAAAAAAAAGAATGTTTCTTTCGTTAGAATCGAATTATGGTAATGTTTCGATATCTCAAGACAAACGATTCAGCAGAGATGAATGAATCTAAAGGACCTCTGCCCGCAAATTCGCAATGGTGATACTGTTTCGTAGAGTAGAAAAAAGCTTCACTATCAAATAGTTAGGCTCAGAAGATGTTAAATTACTTTAGGTGATGTAGAAAGGAATAACAAAGCACATCAGCGTCAACATGTATAAATTCATAGACGTATACCACATCATCAATACTGAACCAACCTTCAACAAATAAAATGTTATTAAGAAGACAGTTGCAGCGAAAAAAATTTTCTTTTCGATGAAGTCATCATCTAGGCTGTGATGTACATTCGTGTATTTATATCAGATGGATGGGAAACTCCCTGAATAACTTCCGGTTAAGGGTCAAATTAATAAAATTACAATTAGGAATTAAAATGGCATAATAAACGGGGGGACGGATAAAACTCAAACAAAGTAGCATCATAATTACTGAGAAGATTGACATTGTGCAATTGCGGGTTAGAAATGTTCCCTTTCATTCCGTATACTACTTGTTTCAGTTTTTGCGTGACGACTCATGTTTCGTCTTATTTGCGGCTCACTAGCTGTACATGCCTGTCCCCAGTGACTGGTAGTATTTCTACTGAAACTCAAACCCAGAACTCGTCGCTTCAAACACAAAGCCATCATCCACCAGCTTAGTGAGCCTTTAAAGCCACCTCTTGTGCAGCAGATGTGATTCGAAATTATTCATTCATACATGTGGTCTCCCACCTACTGTCGCCGACGACCCTCCGAATTATGCTGTCCTGCATCCTGACACAGAGTCGGCCAGGACTGTGAGGCACACTATAGGGAAGCGATAAGACAGGAATACGTTGGACCGCTAAGAAAACTAGAAGATCTGGACTTCGCAGATGATCTAGGTCTAATGTCAGACAAAGTAAGAGATCTAAAGGCGAAAACCAACAACTTGGCAGAGGAGACAATGAACTCGGATTTCAAATGAGCATGGAGAGGAAAGCGGTGCTGAAGATAACCGACCAACAACAACAAGAATCAGTCACTATGAGCAGGAAAAATTTGAAGGAGGTCAATTCCGTCACTTATCTAGACAGCGTCGTTTCAACTACAGGCAGAAAGGATGAGGATATCGATATCAGAGTCGAGAAAGCAAGAAAGACCTTCAGTAATCTAAAATCAATGTGAAGCTCTACTGCACTAAACAGAAAATCCAAGATTCGGATTTTCACCACTAATGTCAAGTCAGTGAGGACTTAAATGTGGTTCAGTGACTTGGTGGGTGAGTCACTGGAAGCATTTTGAATAGGCTTCAGACTTTTATCGACATGTGACTTCTCATGCTACATACTGAATGTCGGATAACCGTCCATAAAGTATAAGCAACAGAGAACTCTTTGGGAATGTACCGACTGAGAACTTATTGATCAAGAAATATAGCAACGAAAATGGAAATTGATCAGACATGTGCTCAGAAGACTGTTGAGTGAAATCGCACGTCAAGCCATGAATAGAATGGTCTCCGAAGGAGAAACGACGAGTCTGCAGTCCGAGGGCATTATGGCGGAGGTTGTGTTTTAGATGTAAATGGGAGCTTATGAGCAATCGTGGAGCCAGCTGAAAAAACAACTGCGGAGAACAGGATGAAATGAAGATTTACCGTTGAAGCTCTATGCTCCACTCAGAACCTAAGGGAATAACAACAAACTTATGACTTCCCGTTGATGTATCTTGACCGAATTAATCAGCTTGACGTTGAGATATATGCAACGTCTTGAGCTGATGCCTCAGCATCACTGTGATTACTAACTAGCAATTCCTAGTTCAGTAGTAGTGGTTGTATTTGTATGAATATGTAAGTCTGCAAAGTTTTGAAGTCAATGAGTGTTGGAAAGTTTCAAAATTATAAAATGCAACTTAACAACCCATGAATATTTCAGTAAAACAAAACGATACAATTTGAAACTTATGGAATTGTTGCAGTTCATTTGTGGTCAGCTCATCTGTGTTCTTCACTGATTATTTTGGTAAACAAATTATGTGTTTCAGCACTATGAATAATTTATTCCAAAAAGTTACAAATTATCAACTTTATGTTTTTTTTCACGCTTTATTCAATTTTGTATCAGACAATGAATTATAAACCCAAACTCCAAATATAACGGTGTCATGAATAAGTAACGTTCTGATCAAATTTGAATTTTATTCAAACTTAGCTAATTATGCCAGTCTATTCATAATAAATGGTGTTATATTATACGACAGTAGATAGCTGATCTCATAAAAGTTAATTAACGCTAAATTCAGTTAAGATGAAAACAAACTTCTGTGTGTACATTGTTTGGAATCTAGAGGACAAGGGACGTTATGTATCTGATCCCTAGAGCTGTGTGAACTTTACCACTGACGTGCGGACAATAAGCCGATGACTCGCCAGCACAGTGTACTGAATGAAGCTGGTTTGAATCTCTAGGAGGGCATATTTTCCAATGAGGGTGCAGACACGCCTTGTTGAAGAGTGCCAGTAGGTACGAAGTTTAGGTCCACGGCTTCCTGACTACTTATTTCTGCAATGCAATATCAGTTTTCACTCGCAAATTACACTGAACAAACGGCACTACTGTTTCATTTAATCTCGCTCGAATGGTTACGACACTCCTCGAACTGTGGTTTTACAATAGTGTTGAAATAAGACGCTGCGCTTGTAAACGCAGTCCATAAAATCTTACTGAAAACAGTTATACCACTGTCGCCGTAATTAAAATTCATAGCCAGTAATCGATTTTTAGTGCGTCGGTGGCATAGCAGTTAGGACGCTCGCCAACCATGCACATAGTCCGGGGTTCGATTCCCGACCGACGCACTCCTTTACCTCGCTGAGCCAGTAATAATTCTGGTGGAGAGGAAAGGTTGGGCATGAGGCTAGCAACCCCATCCTGTAAAATAAACACTGCTACAAAAACTTCAAGCCAACTAGCTTTAAGCCCTATGTTCCACTGGGAACGTGAAGGGAAAAAAATCGATTTTTAAGTTGTTAAGAGACACTTACAAATCTCCCAGCACCTACGAAGGTTTCATCTGATTCACCATAAATTGACAAAGACCAAAACTAAAGCGACAAATAATTTCCCAATCAGACAATCATAAAGAATTCGAAACTTGACGAAGATACTTATTGGCGTAAGTTGTTGAAATTAAACATTAACAATAACAAAAAGCTTCGCTATTAAATCACCCAACTCAGAAAACTTTAAAACTCTAGAAAGAAAGTAAAAGAAGTCAGGACTAAATGCTGCCACGTGAACTGAGTTTTCAGCCTAGGTCGAATAAGTCAGTACTGACGTCTATGAGTACATAAAATATTCGGTCAATAAAACCTACTTCAGCTAAGAATAAACAACAGATTTGCTAAAGGACCTTTATTTATCCCACCATTTCCATTGTAAACAAAAGCATAAATATTATGAAATTCATCATAATCAAGTAAATATTTGTAACCGAAGGAAAGATAATAACAAGTAAAATCATGAATAGAAAGAAACTAATGTAACAAAATGTAAAAATAATGCCGTTCAACTCAGTTTTCTGTTGCAAGCTCACATTCATAAATATGCATAGCGTTCATTGGACTGAATGTATTCTTTTCATTAGGTATGTAATTCCTTGCATTTTGACAGTCTAACACATGAACTACCGCGTGTTTGTACTGCAACTGAATGTGTTCTGTAATACAGACATTTTTTAAAAGTACGTTAAAAATTAAGAACAAACATTTATTCGATAACTATGAATTCATATACAACCTCAACGTCATATTATATATTAATATGTATGTGGATGTAGTGGTATGTCGTTAGCTCACGGATAGAATACTCGCCAGCCACGGGCATGGTAGGGGTTCGATCTTCTGTCGAAGCACTCCTTAACCTCACAAAGCCGGTAGTAAGCCTGGAAAAGAGGGCGTGAGACTGGCGATTCCACTCCCGTGAGAACCGCACATGTGTTGCTAAAACTGAAGGCCTGGAGCTTCAAGACCTATTCCCCAATTAGAACGCAAAGGAATGGAAATTTTTCCGCTGTACTGCTAGTAGTAGTTGCTTAAAGTGTACATTCCTGAGGAGAGTCTATAACTTCAGCGATGGCATTAGTTTCAGTGCATCTCCACAAGCAGGTTAACTTTACCAACTAGATTCAAATTATAAAATATTCAACGAATAATTATTAACGAATAATTATCTCACTCTTATGTAGAAGAACTATAAGCTTTCTCTTACAATAAATTATATAATTAGTTTTGACAGCTGAAATTTTCGGCAATATTGTTAAAATTCCTTTTTAATATTGTTTCACTATGATTCATTCATATAGGTAGTAACTTGTCTGACGGTGAAATAACAGCATAAAAAATAATTATGAGAAAATTTAAAACAATTAGTTCCCTTTATGAATTTAGATAAAACAATAAGAAGACGTAATTTGTCTGAATCGTGTAATGTATTTGCGCAACACATTTCGAACAATCTGATCCATCACACACGGACTTGTCATAGGAATATATATGAAATTAATAAAGAGTTAAGAGGTGAGAAAAATAGACTTAGGTCAAGTTAAAAGGACATATTGAAGGTCAAAATAACAATGAGGATCACTAAACCAAATAGCAGAGGTAATAGTACATCTGCTATGGTATCAAAACAAAATTCTCTATAGTTTGGTTTGTAAGGGTTAGTTATGTTTTTACGAGTTGATCATGGATTGATATCAGTTAGAGAACCATTGAAAACCAGGGAGTACTGGACAGCTGCTGTTTCATCCTAGTTTGTGAATCATCGGCAGTACACAAAATTCACCAAGGAAGGTTTAATGTGATGACAAATTGTTTTTGAACGCATAGAAGAGCTGGGTCTCCTATTCTATTGCGAAACATATTATAGAGACAGGACATAAAATTGACGTTAACAGATCTTTTAAACCTATCTATAAAACGTGTTTAGGGCGTATTCAAAAGTTTGTGGAAGCCCTAGCAGTTAGAAAGTTCAAATCACCTTTATGCGTTCAAAAACAATTCGTCGTCACATTAAACCTTCCTAGGTCTTATTATGTTCTCTGATCTAGAGGGATTAATTTTGAAGATATCACTGACTTACTAGAAAACACTTCCATGGCTAACTTGAATGCAGTGTGATTTCTTAGAATTCTCCATGAATGATATAGCTGATTTTCCTGATCAGCTTAACAGTGGTCGACTGGATTCACAGGTTTCCTTATCCTTATTTCCACTTGTACTGGGATTGGTTGTTTCGTACAGATGCTATTTTACCATTTCGACTCATTCTTGATTGACTGATGAATTCAATGCATGTCGACAATGCTGTTAAAAACAGACTGATCCGAGTACCAAGTTTATAAGGATATTCTAGCAATACTGTTGCATTTCCTGTCTTTCATTTCTACATTTTTTCAAACTAAAAGGTGTCTGTAGTTACTCACATGAGCTTATATGAAGAAATACATTTCACTAGACTACTTTTTTGGATCTGATGTCGAGGGCGACTTACACTATTGTCGATATAATTTTTTTTAAAGTTGATGCAGTTTACTTATCGTATGGTACTACTTTTGGCTTCTTTTACTGTCGATTGTTTTGTTCCACATAGTATTGAATTGAAATATTTGTGTTCCTTTCTGAACGATATCTATATTGCAGTTAAACTATCTAGCTTAGAGAACACAGCTATACTGAAAGACAACCACTTGAGCTTAAACTGTTCTCCATCATTTCAGAAGGAAGAGAACACATAGAATTTTTTTCTTTATTATGACGGTTACAAAGCTAATGGGCACAAAGTTATTTTTTCCTTTCAATTCCCAGCAGGACATTAGGCTACAAATTTGAGCTTTGATGTTTCAGTAGTAGTGATGTTGGAATAGGATTGCCAGGCTCACGCTCAAACTTCCCCCTTTAAGGAGCAATACTTGGGCCGAAGATCAAAACCATGGGTTTGCAAGTATTCTACCAATAAACCACAGGCACGAAAAGCTTATAACTCCAAAGGGGATGCACGTAATATTTAGTAAATGTTTCATAGTCATTAGAGAGATACTTTTTAAGGCTTATACTGTTACAGATACCTCGAATTGTGAACCACAGACGGTGTATTAATATTAACATTATAAGATTTGTAGCAGTTGCAAGTGTTTTCAATTTTATTCGATCCATTGTATGAAAAGATGTCAAAGTCAGAATCGGAAAAGCAAGATACACACGCCTTCATCAACCTGAAACCAGTTTTGAAATCCTCTGCCTCACTCAGTCAGCATAAACAACAAGATTCACATTTTCAACACCAATGTCAAGTCGGTCAGTTCTTCTATACGGGTCAGAAACTTGACCGGCGTGTCACGAAAAGGATTTCCAACAGCCAGTTGCAGACTTTCATCAACAGGTGCCTTCGATGGCTCCATACTGGAGATCAAATGGCTAGAAAGAATGAGTAACAAGAAAATCTGGCTGGCAACAAACCAACCACGAGTTGATCACTCAAGAAATATGTAGGAGAAAATTAAGATGGATAGGGCATACGTTGAGGAGACCTTCATGCAATGCAGGCCATCGCTCGAGTGGAATCCCGATGGGAAGCGACGAGTGGATCGTGGGTGCGAGGGTGACATGGAGGAGATCGTGTGATGTGGAGGGGATGAGAGATTGTAGGCAATCGTGGTCCAGGCTAAAAAGGACGGCAGAAGATAGGACGAAGTGGAGATCTGTTGTTGAAGCCTTATCTTCCACTGGGAACTCAAGGGAACAATAATACTACAATAATACATTGTATGATGTGACTAACCATCACGTTTATTCAAAATTCCACTTTAAGTGGATAGATAAATAGTCTTTTATTTCTAATAGGAACATCACACATATCCCTTCTTTACAGTCACTTATCACTAAGGAAAGGGTTATTATATTCAGTTAACACTTCAGAATGTCTGATAATGTCTGATAAAAAAAGCTGTAGGATGCCATCTTTTGAATTAATAAAGTTTGCTGAAAGACTATTAAAATCAAGCCTTTTTGAGTTGATGTTCTTCATTGTAACTTAAATTACACTGAAATCATGTGTTTATCTGTGAGAAAATGTTCTGATTTATAGTGTGCATAAATTTAAATTAAAAATTCTACAAAAACAATTTAACTCATAACACAATAACCAATTTGATTTTAATAAGGGTTAGAAAACAACACAATGTGTTACACAGTAAAACTGTAATGAAAATAATCGTAGACTGATAATGGAGACAACAATTCATTGAACTCATAAATGTAACATAAAAAGTCAGTGGAATGAATGAGATTAATTTATGCGAAAATTCATTCTACAGAATTGCAATATTACAATCTTAATATTTCTGATAATGATCATGACGAAAAGATGAATTATTAGGAAGGCTGGAATCAATTGCCTCCAACTTCGTTAAGGAAATGACAATATGAGATTCAACTGATAATCACTTCTAAATTCCAGCTCAATGAAAGCGTAGTTTCCCGTATACATTTGTATTATTCTTGAATACCGGAAACAGCCTCAAAACCAGTGTTTACTTAAATATTCTAAAGAAAGTGAATCAGCTACTCAAGTGTTGGTTTGTAGGGATTTGATTGGTTCTCTAACTAATGTCAGCTCATGATGAATCAGCTACTTTTCCCTCCTGGATTACAAGTTTTTATTTGGATTAAATCCAATCTCAGTATGCAGTGCAGTGAAAAACAAACAATCCATACGCTAAGCGGGCCGAATGGCCTAAGTTAACAGCTGTACTTCTTTGATCCTTCAATCGAGAGGTAACTGAGTAGACTAACAGTAGCTTGTGTGAAACACACTGAAGTAATAGTTTCTGTTCATTTTTCATTCCTTCACTTTTCCAGTGGAACATAGGGCTTCAAGCTAGACGGTTGAAGTTTCTGTAGCAGTGGTGTTTATTTTTACAGGATGGGCTTGGTAGCCTCATGGCCAACCTCTCCCCTTTAACAGCTTTATTACTGGCTAAGCGAGGTAGAGGAGTGTGTCGGCCGGGGATCGAACGCCGAACTATCTGCGTGGTCCGCGAGCATTCTACCGCTGTGTCACCGACGCTCAATAGTTTCCGTTAACTTCAACCAATTTCAAACACATTTTGTTATCTCATCCAGCCTATTTCAACATCTTACTTCTCAAGGCCAATTCACATCGATTTTCTCATCAGTATATGCTAATTAGGTTCAACGCGATTATTCTTTGTATAGATATTTCGTATAAAACAACACATTATTCATGTTTTGTTGATTGTATATAGACGCATAATTATGAATAATTCCAGCCGACTGGTAGGTGTTTTTGATTATTACCAATCATCATCTTTTAGTAAATTTCACTTAGTTGCAGCAAAACTGACTTTGCATTGTCCTATTCTCCAAATCTATTCAAACTCTGGATATTATTGGTAGAGTCTGAGTCTCTGAGGCGGTAAAGTTCTGAATCTCAACTGATGCATTTCATAGCACTGTTACTAAATAATCCAGTTATTATTACCCAACTCTTTCACACAGTGAAACAGTATTGTTTCTGGATGACATTTCGAAGGCGGCTTATTATTCACATTTGTATCATTAGGTAACTATACAACTTTGAAACTCGATTTATCTAGTTCTCGTTCTTCCCTTTTATATGTCGGAATCAGAGTCATTGTCAAGGTATGTTAAAAACCAACTTTTAGGAAACTAGATTAACTATGATCTATGAAACTATTATTCGAATACCAAGTTAACTGGTAAGTCTAAGCAATAGGCTTCCAAAATTCTGACTTTTGATACTGATAAAATTGACAATATAAACTGAAAGATCGTCTTTGGAGATCGTCATATCCCAAGTGGAAAGCCTACACAACCTCGAATATTCCCGGCAGTCTAATTCAGTATTATACGTGGTATTTGTTATTATTCCCTTTGGGTTCCGAGTGGGACATAGGTATTCAATAGTACATCTCCACTTTGTCCTGCTTTCTACAGTCCTTTTCAGCTTGCCCCACGGTTGCCAATAAGGTCTCACCTCCTCTCCAACAGATCCCTTCCAAGTCACCCTAAGACACCCAATTCATCGTTTCCCACTCGGATTCCACTCGAGAGCCTGGCACGCGAAGTCAGTTGCATACACAGTTTATCAGCAGAAAATCGACTTTAACACCAGACAGTATAAGAGATCTACCAGATACCATACGTTTGAAGCCAAGTAAAATAACTGGACCAGATAAAAAATAAAAAGGATGCTCATTAAGAACTTTGAAGAAATACTCTAATACATTACATTTAGAGACAAATTACACACATTATATTTCATACTTTTGCGTTCCAAGTGGAACATAGAGCTTCAAGCTTTGGATATTCAGTAGGGCTTGTGTTATTTTAACGAGATGGAGTTGCTAGCTTTACGCCCAACCTACCCTCTTTTCCAACCTCGCTACCGGCATCGGTGGGGAATCCAGACGAATAAAGACAAACGCTGCAGAATAATCACTTCCACAACATCTGCTTATTTTTATCAGTAGTTAAGTAGCAGAGTTCATTCAGATTTGTATTTTAGTATGTACTAAGAATGAAATCACATTCCCTCAAGTCTGTCTGATTCATAACTTTTCACATAAAACTGACCGAAAACTTAACTCCCTTCAGTAACCCATTGTTAATTAATCGAGTTAACTTTGCTTTATCATATTCATTTAATCGAAATAACTGATTTCTTAATGTGGAATAATTATAAAAAATAACAAAAACATTTTTAATTCGTAATCAGTCATATTTTGTTCATAATGTTTTGTTGGCTGAAAATGAAACGCAATAGGTGCATTCAGCCAGATCTGAAATGTCTCAATTCAATGAGATTCAGAGGAGTAGTTATGACCATTACAAATCGATCTTAAAATGAAATTCTGACATATCAAATAAACCTGCTATTAACTAGGAGGAATGACCATGTCTGATTTCATGGCTAAGTTAACGTCTCGACCAAATGCTTAAAACAATATTGTCTAACAAAACAAAACATATTCAACGAAAGGGGATTCTTTCTAGCAGCTTATATGAAAGCTGAACCAGCTGGATGCTGGAATGTGTTTATACTGTTGATAAAACGGTAAAAAGGGACTGAACTAAAAATCTTGTAAAGTACTACTATACCTTTGGTTTATGTCATCTGATGTGAAGTTGGAAAGTCGACTGTTTAATCTGCTACTTTTGCTTTCTCGCCTCTTTAACAAACTCATATACTCTTTCTTTGTTAAAATCTTCTCAGATGGTGGAGGAATAAATTTTAAATCGCCCGGTTTTAAATAACCACCACCAGATAAAGTAGCTGATTGTTTTCGTAATTCTTCACTCCAATTCACTTGATTCTTTGCTAAAATACCTGTAGTAGGAAAGTTAAGATAATTGATAGAATTGGTATATTTTTGAGTTGGATATTCTGTTTTAATTAGCAAATGTTGTTTAACAATGGTTATGCCTACTGAACTGAACTGAACTGGAACTCTCAATGTACAACTTTGAACAAATGCGCATCAGTTCAGTTTATAAAAGTACAACACATGGAGGTGAAGAAAATAAATGCACTGCAATTACAATAAATGAAAATGTACGAGAAACGATGATGAGATGAGGAATAATGAAGATTTCCAGAGCCCGAGAGATCACAAGAAGTGTAGGTTTTCATCGGTCATGTGAAGTAAGACATTAAGAAGATTTTGTCAAGTAGTCGAATGATATAATGTCATGAGTTTTTGACCTGATTCAACGAATTACAGGGATATTTCATTACCTGGAAGTTTTATCCCAGACTGTTTCAGCAATCTGTCAACCTTAAGACACTGTATTCTCAAGGTAGATTTCATCATTAGCCAACGTCAGTAGGAGTACCACTGAAAACTAAACAGCACTGAGCATAAATACATAAATACACACATTCACTATTCATTAACAACTACCTTTAGAATGTATAAATAGAGGAAGCCCTAAAAGTGCCAGAGAATTCCTAGAACCCTGGTACTCAAGTGAATCAGTGATTAACCAGCATATTAATATAGATCAAGTTTACCAACTAATAAAGTTCAAATTCCAAGTCAATAAAAAATGATCCATACAGATTTAGATCGACTACCAGTCACGAAGATGGTTGCCAGGAGACACAATTATATCATTCATGGAGAATTCAAATCAGTCCATTTTATGCTAAAACTTGCACTGAAGATGTTGTCTAGAGGGACGACGAAAGCTTCACAATTAAACCAATCAGCTCAGAGAACACAACTAATTCCAAATCATCCACCTGGACTACAAATCTTCTCTATTATTTCAGGACCTTAACCATTTAGGCAAAACAAGTCAGGTGGATGAATATTCAATGACGAAGGGACTTTATCATGAATAGATAAAAAAGTCGAATTTACGTAACACTGGACTCCATTTCAGTTTGACTACCTCGTAACCTGAAAGTAATGCGTATAAACTCTGGTTATCCAGTAGTCCACGTTACTGGCGCACCCTTTTAGCAAACCCCCCAAACTAGGACAAAACAGCTTTTCAGCACTTGTTGATTTTGGATGGTTGTAGATCCAAGATGAAATCTGTTTTGCGATCTATCAAATATCCATAAACACAACGTTTAAGGACTACATTTCTGCAAAATACATACTGTCATATAACACAGATCAACACTCAGGTAAATGATACCATTCAAAAGAGAATTATTTTCAAATGGCTCATTTTCACCACCTCTTTAATCGAATCCCTCTTCAAGGTGAAGTAATGACTAGAAGGTAACACAAATTATGAACGGTAAATAAAATAAGTTAGCGCCTGTTGCACAACTGTCCATCAAAGATTACATCGTTTATCGACTGTAATGTCAAACAAGTCAACTGCCAATTTCACACTGCTTACCTACCTTCTCTAACTCAACAGTGTAATTTATAGCCAGTGCTAAATCTATTTTAATGAATGGTAATGTTTTAGATGTCTTCAATTCCGTATGATTAACTGATCTTTAGCAGAAATATAAAAAAATGGCTTGAATGTATCAGGTTACTTTTAACCTGATTAGGAGGTACACTCACTCATCTGACTAACCACTCGTATATAAAGCAAAGGATCTATCTAAGTATACATCTAAGTCTCAGTATAGATAAGAGAGTAAAGGCAATGAAATCAAAATGAGGTAGTCATTCATTATTCACTGCAAAAAGCTCTTTTATGAATTAGAAAATTATGCAGAGACATTTAATTGAGTGCACAAATTCAAAGTCTGTTGTACATCATTTGTGAGAATAGTCCAACTTCCTAATTATGTATCGTTTTACAGAAACAAAAAAATGACTCATTTTTGTTTTGCTAAAAATTTCTTTAAATCTTCTCATTTCTCTAATTGTTTTTTTTTATAGATAGATTATTTGAATATCATATAACAAACCGTTTTTTTAATATAAATCTTAATTATTTCTGTGATTTTATTTAACTTTACAGTGGGTAATATAAATTCATTCATTCATTTATTATAGTCGTGCCAAGATTGTGTAATATAATAAGAAAAAAATATATAGACTATGCTAGACAATTGATGTATTATTAATATTTATTCCTTGAGTTACAACTGGAACACAGGGTTTCAGCAGAACATCTTCATTACACTCGGTTGTCTCACGTCAATTTCGAGAAGTTCAATAACCTCCGACGAGCTTTTGCCTCCTTCATACATGGTTTTCTCTACCTTACCTTCGAACTAACTCCCAACTAGTCACTTCTCATTTGGGTACCACTCATCGACCTGCCTGGTGTCTAGTGTCACTTGAGTTCAATCCATCACCGTTTAGTTCCGCATATTTGTTGGTCAGCGGGTGTTTGGCTGGTGTGATTCACTACAACAGTTCTTTGTTTTGTCACTTTTGCGAACGGATTCCCAGCTGATCTTCAGTATCGATCGAAGACGGATATTGATGGAAGTCTGATGTAGCTTAACGTGCTTAGAAACACTCACCGAATTGACATTAATGTTAAAAATTCAGATCCTGTTTCATGTGCTGAAGTTAAAACAGTGTTGGCCAAGTATATGTGAGACTACTCATTTTTTATACCTCCCAGTGATGGCAACTGGTGTTTGTTTTTTGTTAGCCGGGTATCGCCATCACCTCTGTCTTTTCTATATCCACTAAAAGGTCCATTTTTCACCGCCTCTTCTGATAACCTGTTGATTTTCGCTAAATATTACTTTGAATTTGTGCGATATGAGACATAAATCATCCACGCAAGGCAGATTTTATAAGGTCTTTCTGTCCCTTCACATGCAACTCACAATTGAGTATTATTTTAGACATACGATATTCGGTATCTGGTTTCTCTGGTATTTTTAAACCAGTTGGCTACCAAATATTTCACCCAAAAGAATTCATTAGATTCACTCCATTCCGTGTGTGCGTCGGTAGCATAGAGGTTAGGACGCTCGTCGACCATGCACATAGTCCGAGGTTCGATCCCCAGCGGACGCACTTCTCTGCCTCGCTAAGCCAGAAATAATGCTGGTGAAGAGGAAAGGTTGGGCAAGAGGCTAGCAACCTCATCCTGTAAAATAAACACTGCTACAGAAACTTCAAGTCACTAGCTCGAAGCCCTATGTTCCACTGGGGAACGTGAAGGAAAAAGAAAAAAGAAAAACTCCATTCCGTAGTCTTAACCATTCCATTGTTATGTTCTGAACTGGTGCAAACAAGTGAATAGTTTTCTGTCTGACAAACATATAAATTCCAGTGAAACTAACACAGCAGAAGATAGACGAAATTCATTGAAATCACTGCCAATTTCTTGTAGGTTGATTACGCTGAACACAAATTCTTGGACTGTGGAGAAATGCTGGCCAGTAAAACTGACGTTTCGATGACGCCTTGGTTGGTAAAGCCCAACATTGAGATCCAGTATTCAGGTTTCGTCTTATAAGGGACTTGTCAGCTGGATGCAACTGCATCCCAGTGACCATCGGCTCTTCTACTGACACATGGTTACAGCACTCATAGTTTCGAACGTCAAAGTATTAACATCTAGGGTAGTCAGCTTAAAACAGACTAAAATCTTTAGAATCTGAAGTACATTTTAACATGCTTAAGAGAAAAGAAAACTTACTTAAAATTTCTCTCCATTCATTTGAACCAGGATTATAAGCTTGTAAGTATGAAGCGTTGATTTGTGACCAGATTTTGTCTAATCTTTCCATATTTTCTAGACAGGATTTTTGACTTTCTAGTCTGTTTGGTGAATTATCTACAGGTTCATTATTCACTGAGATTATATCATTGTCCTCTGGTTCTGAGATCGACATGTTTTCATCGATATCCAACTCATAATTAGGTTCACTTATCTCTGATAAATTATCATTATCTACTGATGTATTCTTTTCAGTATTCATTTTATCCATATTCTCTTGATTAACAATGCGTTCTAAATGTGAAATGTCAAACTTATCCACTAAACAATCACTTGTATTTAGTTGATTATATAATTTAAACAAAACTGATTTAGTTTCTTCAACGTCTACTTCATTCACTCCACTTTCCTCGATTGTTTTACAATTCTCATTTATAGTCTGATGATCAGAATTACTGGATAAAATTGTTTGAATATAATCAGCTACACTTTTAATACAATTTGTTAAATGATGAATTGAATCTGTACAATCTATTGATATCTTGTTAATTTCGTTTAAATCATGCATCACAGTTTTCTTTCTACATTTTAAGTCCTACATTTCAATAAAACAAAGGAATATATGAGGAAGATATATATATATATATGGATGAGTTTTATATGTAAACAGAAAAATGTGTATATTCACTGTCTAATTCAGTTGGTGAATGCTTGTTCATGAAGATAGAAAATACTATCAGAGCTAATATTCATGAAGGTTTTCTAATACCTTGCATCCCAAGCGGAAAATAGGCCTCCAAGCTTTGAAATTACGGGATGGGATTGCCAGCATCACATCCAACTTTTTCTCTTTTCCGGCCTTAGTATGGGCTAGTAAATTAAGTAGAGTTTAGGAGTGAGTTACACGGGAATCGAATATGGACATTAAAACAACCATCTGCCTCGGTCTGGACGTCCAAGCAGTATACTGACCCTCGCACAAACTATGAGATTCTGAGTGGTACATCTTTCGGTGCCCATAATGTACAAAGTTTGTGTGATAATAAATAAAAATTTTAAAAAAATACTCGTGTTTTCCAAGTTCGCCTCTAACATCCAGTGAAAGTAAACGAAATTTACCTGAACAATGTAAATGTGATTTCAAACTTTCTCAAACCCTGTTTGAAATCCCTGCATGACACATTTCAATTCACCTTTAAATGCTTTAGTAATGTTATTACTGCCAGTAGTAGTACACTCATTAATACTATTATTCTTACCTTCCTAATCATTTCAAATAACCTATTCACTTATAATTTTTTTCCTTCACGTTCCCAGTGGAAAATAGGGCCTCAAGCTAGAGGCTTGAAGTTTCTGTAGCAGTGTTAATTTTTACAAGATGGGGTTGCTAGCCTCATGCCCAACCTTTCCGCTTTACCAGTCTTCCTACTGGCTTAGCGAGGTAAAGAAGTGCGTCGGCTGGGGATCGAACCCCGGACCATGTGCATGGTCGGTGAGCGTCCTAACCACTGTGCCACCGACGCATTCACTTATAATTAATCTCGTGCATTTATTATCAGTCGACGACTTCTTGAAGTCATTCACCTGTTTCCCCTATTTACCAGAGTCTTCCAAAAAGCGAATTGTGTAACGCCATTCTGATAAATTCACAAACCAACAACAACTTTTATTAAATTTTCTGATCATTCTAGGGATAAATTAAGTAATTTAAAAGCAAATTCAACTTCTCATTAAATCTCTTTGCCCTTCAATTGCTCCTTTTTTACCTTGAAATTAATATATGTCTCCGGTAAAACTGCAGTACGGAGTCTTAAAATGCCATATATTGGTGTAGATTATTGATGAAAATTTAGAAAGAAGGAAATAAGCCCCTTCGTTTATCTTTTTTTTATTGTCGCAGCTATGGTGTTGAATGCTTAGTTTACATTTGAAATTGCAGTTCATCGAGGAATGCTTTCGTTTCTAGTAACACCTCAGGAATTAAAATTGAGTCTTATCAATGCATTCAGCATTACAAATCACCGTTTGCCTAGGCATACAAAAATGGATGGAGTACAGAAAAGTTAACAAATGTCAAATTGTTGCATATGTTCAATGAGTCTGCAGATGTTTAACAAGTTGAACAGGAAGACATAAAGTCTTTGAGTGGTGTTTGAATAATAAGAAAATGAATTTAAGGCCTTAGGAGTGTGCTAATGTAATACATGATTACTCGATATTACTTTTTACATACCTCAACTTGCATGCTTAAAGACTGTTTCTCTTCCTGCAAATCATTACATTTACTATTTAAATTAGAATGCATTTCATTCCTTTCTTCAGCTTCTCTAATCAATTGATCAAGTTTGTCTTGATGAATCGACAGTAAATGAGATATCTGTGGGACAAAAAGAACATATGAAGTAATCAATGTTTACGACTAATTTCTCCTGAACCTTTTACGTACTGTACTTAAGCCTGGAAAATACCGTCGATTGTATACAACCAAATTAATTATTCACAACTTCGAACTAGTAAAATTCAAAATATTACGGTTTAAGAGAACTTTTTAAAAATCCGTATTCAAAACATTGGTTTTCTGAAAGTGTATTTCAATTCAAGACAGATTTCAACACCGCTGAAAATCAGAAAGCACGAGCTTCGTTCTATCTTAGAAATCTTCATCAGTAGTCCCCTAGAAGTCCAGTGAAGATTGACTTGGAGAATTCCAGGTTATGAAGTGAGTGGGTAAGCCTACAATCAAGCCAAGGAATTAGAGTCAAATGGTTCATATCTCTTGTTTCATGACTCTACATATTTGAGGTGAAATAACTTTTGAAGTATTATATATTCACATATATCACTACTTAAGTCAGTTTATTCGGCTGTCAGCAGCCGAAGAAAGGCCATGAAATAATAAAAATGGGCTTTTTTTATCCTAAAAATGTTCGTTTTTGCTGCTTTCAAACTGATATAGGGAACCAAGTGTATGACTAACTATAATTAATTACTCCGTACCATGAATATGACTTCTTAATAAAAATACTGTATTGGCTGAATTAATTCAAAAAAATCCTGGAATAGACAAAGTCTATTCGTGAATCTGATTGGTAACATCACAGTCTGAAGGGTACTGAAAATAATATACAATAACTTAAACATTTATGCAACTTACTTGACTGTTAACAATCTAGTGCAGCACTTTAGAAGTGATTAGGAACAGACTGCTAGGCTACACTTTCTTTATCCTTTATTTTCTTCTGAACATTTCTAACAGTAGACTATTTCACCACACACTAGTAATCAGCAACCTCCTGTTTAATAGAATACCTCTTAAATCTTAAGTAATTTACAACAATATACGGATTACTTAAATTTCTATTAACCTAAACTAGCATGAAATACAAACGGTGCACTTATAATAGAAAGTTCTCAATGTCATTATTTTTCTAAAAGGTTTACCTTTGTTACAGCTGAATTACGTGTTCCCAGTACAATTTGTTCCTTTTCTAAACTTGACTGTTCGTCAATTAAACTGTGAAATTCTTTTAATAGATTGACATTTTCTCTACTCATCTCAGCGATTGCAACAGACAGTTTCACTAATTGACCTTCAATGGAAACATTTTCTGCAAGCATCCGTTTTACAGTTGGTTCAGTACGTTGAAATGAAACAGAACGAAATTCAGAAGCGACCTTAAGGACAATTAGTAAATATAGGATAAAATGATAAAAAATTAGGAGATGATAGAGAATAGTCATTAAAACATGAAGGCATCCATCCAACAGCCAATCACTTATGAGCAGAAGATAAATATTGAAATATTAAGTTCGCAAAATTTCGATTGTTTTCGAAGGGAATTTCACCATTAACCGACATCAGTTAGAGAAGAATCTCAGATGAACAATACCGGAAATTATGAAAACTTATCAAACTTAGAAGACATGGATGACATCAGGATGATATCATTCTGGAAATATACTATACTAAGCGAGAAGAACAAGATTCGGATTTTCAAAGCTAATGTCAGATCACTGCCTCTATATGTTCTAGAGACTCAGTCAGTGTGTTACCAAAGGCATTTCCAACAGCCTGCAGCAGACTTTTATTGATAAATGTCTTCTCTGGCTCTTTATTGAAGATCAGATGGCCAGTTGGAAAGTTGGCCAGCTCCCAGCAAGGAACACTGGTAACGAATCAACCAAGAACTCATAGTCCGACAAATACGCTGAAGAAAATGGAGATGGATCACACGGTGTTATCAAAATAAAATCTTATCTATAATGGAGTTATACTCTACTACAGTGCCCAAGTTTTATACTTATATCAAAATGGAAATGGATTGAACAAACGACGAAGTGACCGTTGAGAGACATCAAGAGCCAGACCGTTGACCGGGACCCTATTGGGAAACGGCGAGATGAAAGTGGATCCGAATGTGACTTAGAGATATCCTGTAGGCTCGGAGATGAGAGCTAGTGGGAAATCGTGAAGCCAGCTGAAGAGAATTGGAGATAACGGGAGAAAATGGAGATGTGCTGTTGAGGCTGTAAATTCTATACGGAACCTAAGGTAATGAATAAATAATAAAGGCAAATTCGATTTAGAACCTTATTCATATGAAACAGCAGTTACGTCTTTCTGTGACTATTGATCCAAACTTCTGCAAATATATCACAAATACTGTTCAAATCTCAAACATTCCAGTCATAGGGAAAAGTCCATGTTTATCATTCATGTATCTGTCTATTAATTACCATTGTCACACTTCCATTGATTTGGGTGAGGGTTAAATTCAATTATTTGTCGTTGAAACCCCCAACCTCATGTCACAAACATTTGTGTTAACTTATTTTTTTTCTTTCACGTTTCCCAGTGGAACATAGGGCTTCAAGCTAGTGGCTTGATGTTTCTGTAGCAGTGTTTATTTTACAGGATGAGGTTGCTAGCCTCACGCCCAACCTTTCCTCTTCACCAGCATTATGTCTGGCATAGCGAGGTAAAGGAGTGCGTCGGTCGGGGATCGAACCCCGGACCATGTGCATGATCACCGAGCGTCCTAACCGCTATGCCCCCGACACACTGTGTTAACTTATATATATATATGTATATGACAGATAAAACTTTAGTTATCAATCTTTCCTTCCTCCGTGTGTTTGGTCATACATGTAATAAGATGTGACAAGATGCCACACCCAATCCACCTTCGTTTTCTTTTTAAACGCCTAACTCTCAAAAGAATGCTTTCCTCATATTCTAAATCTGTTTATCTTATGATTGGTATTCCTACTAAAAAGCCTCTAAAATTATCTGGCTATTTCTGCACTCTATGAATCACACAGTTTTTTCTGTTACTCAAAATTGTTAAACCAAGTTTCTCAATTTGCCAGTCTCCTTCCAGACACAAATTCAAGGTGTTTTCTTGCCAACTGACATTATTATTGGATCTTTGTTGTCATTTTTAACTACCTCCCAAAAGCTCCATTTAATTCCACATATGTGATGAAGAGTTACGAAATGGACACTCTTTTCTGACGTGTATTTTCAATTTATGTCACAAAGGCATTTTTCCAAAGAAACATTCTTGCATATTTTATACTACTCGCAAGTAATATAAAATTTACCTACTAATTAAAATATGCCATTTGATAGCGTGTTTCACAGCCTCGAAATGAATTTGAAGTAATTATATATGCATATATATATATATATATATGTTAGGATTATTATCTTCTCTCTCTTTACTTGTTCGTATATTTAAAGCTTACATAATTTTTCTGGTAAAATTTTCCGAGGAGACAATCCTCTTATAGTCTTTAAATGTATTCATTTCTTGCATTTTAAGCTTTTACAGAGAATTTTCTTTAGAATTAACCGCTGATCAAACAGAGAAGCTTTTCAGAGTTGAGGTTAAGTCGTTCGATGTGATTCTAACTATATCTTGTATGTAGAGTGATAGCTCTTGCTATGCATAACGAAAACGCTTAATTCCGTATGCAGGAGCTATTTATTCAATCCCTCTTACTTCCGCGGTCTTACGTATTTGAACTTTGTTGTCATTTTTAACTACCTTCCGAAAGCTCCATTTAATTCCATATATATATATATATGTTAGGATTATTATCTTCTCTCTCTTTACTTGTTCGTATATTTAAAGCTTACATAATTTTTCTGGTAAAATTTTCCGAGGAGACAATCCTCTTCTATATATATGGAATTAAATGGAGCTTTCGGAAGGTAGTTAAAAATGACAACAAAGTTCAAATACGTAAGACCGCGGAAGTAAGAGGGATTGGATAAATAGCTTCTGCATACGGAATTAAGAGTTTTCGTTATGCATAGCAAGAGCTATGGCTCTACATACAAGATATGGTTAGAATCACATCGAACGACTTAACCTCAACTCTGAAAAGCTTCTTTGTTTGATCAGGGGTTAATTCTAAAGAAAATTCTCTGTAAAAGCTTAAAATGCAAGAAATGAATACATTTAAAGACTATAAGAGGATTGTCTCTTCGGAAAATTTTACCAGAAAAATTATGTAAGCTTTAAATATACGAACAAGTAAAGAGAGAGAAGATAATAATCCTAACAGAAATGAGAAAGCCCACTGAATGACTATAATCACAGTTAGGCCAGCAGAATTACTTTAGAAAAGAAATATCAGGGATGAATCAGTTTATTGTCAAGACCTCTCCAATGTTCTTACTCATTTAAAAGCATTTAGTTTTACTATGCGGATAATTTGTAAGGAATTTCTTTTAGAGAATGAGGGCGACTAAAGTTATACGAGTACTGTAGAGTTGGGTTATTGAATGATTTCTATTCTTCTCTTCAAAAGCAAACAGAAGACGCTATCAAACGGAACACTGTTTCCATTAAAGATTTAGATTTTCGCTCTGAGAGACCTCGATTCAACGCCCTAAAGGAACATCAGCTTTCATAGTGAGTTTCACCTGTCAGGCAGGGTATATCAACAAATAGCTTTTCTTTACAAACTGAGAATTTTTGTCTTTCACGTTCCCCAGTGGAACATAGGACTTCAAGCTAGTGACTTGAAGTTTCTGTAGCAGTGTTTATTTTACAGGATGAGGTTGCTAGCCTCATGTCCAACCTTCCCTCCTCACCAGCATTATTTCTGACCTAGTGAGGTAAAGGAGTGCGTCGGCCGGGGATCGAACCCCGGACCATGTGCATGATCGGCGAGCGTCCTAACCGCTATGCCATCGACGCACCGAAACAAACTGGGCATACCTCAATGTATTTCAAACAAGAGGTTTATCACTGGTTGACTGACTTCTTAATAATTCTAACACTAACCAAGATCACTTGAAGAACCTCATCCTGATCAATGACTCTTCGAAAGTGAGCAATCATAACTGCTTGCAAGATCTCACCAAGGACTGATAGCTCTCCTAGAGCAACTGAGTCAGAATCCAACAGCTTAAGATATTCAGAATATTCAGATGTTATTGAGTGATGAACTTCACCTTGGTGATCGTAGGATAAAAGGCAGTCTCCGTTAAGATATGACAGTTTCTGATTTGATTTATCATGCATTCCTTGGTCCACAGATAAATAAATACTTGACAGCAAAGTAATCTTTCCAGCAGTAGAAAGGATAAGTTGACAGAAAAGTGGAGGATAATGCTTTGAATGTAATAATATGAGCAAATAAACAATAGGCCAAGGATTTCTTCCTGAATGCTTGTAATAATCTTACATTAATTTAAAGTGCACCACGATAGTTAGTCACCTAGCTTGGTGAACATATCGTAAACTTCAGTCAGCAGTAACCCTAAAGACTACATAAATAACCATTAGTTACTGTCTAGTGACCAATCAATACCAACAATAACGTATTTGCCAATTTAAATCACACTGTTTTAGCAGATATATTCATGTCCAACCTTGAAAGAACAAAGTTGAAGCATGCAATCGACGAAACAACTTCCTACTGTCGATATGTTGATGACACATTTATAGTGTGCAACAATGAAAGTCATGCTTCACACTTACTCAGATTATTCAGTGATGCACACACCAATATTGAGTTTACTATGGAACATGAAAGTGACGGAAAGTTCCACTTCCTCGACATTGCCATGGAACGCCTAGAAGACGGTAGTCTTCAGAAGTCAATTTATCGAAAGCCCACATGGAAAGGACAATACTTACATTTTAATAGCTTTTGTCCAAATAGCTTTAAACGCGGACTAGTCAAGACTCTATACTATAGAGCGAGGAGAATATGCTCTATAGAGAAATTAGAGGAAGAATTTGAGTTTCTTGAAAAGATGTTGAAGAGCAATGGGTACATTCAAAGATTCATCAACAAGTATGGAAGATCTGAAGTCACAAATCACAGTGGGTAAAAAGCCAATCTACATTCAGCTTGATTATAAAGATGAAAACATTGCAGCAATGATCAACAGAAGGCTGAGTACGTCACTAGCCAGAGCCTATCCTGCAGCTAAGCTCGTCCCCGTCTGTTGAACAACTTGCTCTTTGGTGCAATCAAAATCGATAGATATCCTTCTCGTGTTGACTCCAACTGTATATACAAATTTACATGTATCTGCGGGAGCAGTTACATTGGAAGGACAGAAAGAAGGGCATATCTACGATTTTCTGAACATGTACCAAAAAGCTTATGTCTAAAGGGAACAAATGCTTTAAACAGTGCCATCGCCAGGC